GCTGTGTCAATAGTACAAATAAAGAACTTCTTTCTTTAAAACTGCCACCTTTGGTGAGATATTAATGTGATTGCTAGAGTTACTGTTGATGAAATATAGCTTATTGTATAAAGGTGAAGAAATTCAGATAAGCACTATATGCAGTGCTGTTTCTGCAGCGCGGGATGAGCAGGCAGCTGTTAGGTGTCAAGAGCTCCTGTTCTGTGAAGGTGAGATGCAGAGTGAGAACAAGACTTAATCTGCACTGGAGAAGGGCAAGTCAGTGCTCTGTGAATTGGGATTAAAGCATGTGCTTAAACACGTATGGAATCTCGCAGAAGGCAAATGAGCATGTGTTTTAACTGCTTTGCTGGGTTGCCAGCAGACATTTGGCCTCAATTTCCCTCTTCTGTAATGGGGTTTTAGAACTTCCTACTTCACAGGAGTGTATTGAGAAACATTAAACGCTGGAAGATTGCTCTGCTGCTCAGCTGACTGTTGTAAACATACTCACCTGGGTTACTGTTTTCTAAACAGCTAATTTCCAGTAACTTTTTTTTACATAAATTCTGTAGCTAATGTTACAGCAAGCCATAGAATTTTCCTCAAAGGATAGCAAATAAGGTTAATGAATGATCTAATGATGATAGTGGCACTTGAGAAATTGCTCATTTACTTAGGAAAAAAAAGGACATACTTGATGCATGACCTCTTTCTTTTTCATTTTTTGTTTTCAGTTTTGAAAATAATCATAAAAGGGAGGGCAAAAAAATCACAGAAGTAGAAAAAAATGTATATCTGAAAACATTTTTTGATTGTTTGATTTAAAAACTATGTTTGAACTTTGTTCCCTGCCTGCCTGGCTGTAAAACAGTGGTGTATCTCTCCAAGATGTGGGATCAAGTGCCTCTGTAATGTGCGCACTGCAGTTTAAGCTTTGGGCTCTTAGTTGTGCTAGCGTTTTGACTGTGGAAAGAGAGCTGAAGAACAGTTGATATCTTATAGATGGAGCAAGGAAGATTTCCTCCTTGGTTTTATTCTTAATTCTGTCACTGACTTGGTCTATGGCCATGGGTAAGTTCCCCACATCTTTCTGTCAGCTTCTGTTTTGCTGAGAAGGATGGAAAGGCATTGGTCTGAGTGTTAGTCAAATGCAGGGCTTAAACAGCCAGCACTATCAAGTTCCAAAATACCTATGGTTGGACCTAGGGCAGTATAAACCATCCTCCCTTACCTATGGTCTGATCCCTGCAGCGCAGAGACAGGATGAAGTCATGCCAACAGTACTATGGAAGCTGCTCATGAGCAACAGTCTGGAGAAGATCCCTCTGCTCTTTTCTTGTAGGTGTCCTCACCTAACAGTCCATTAACTAAATTGAATGTTAATTTCTAAAAATTTCTTAACAGTGAGGGTGACAGAGCACTGGAACAGGCTGCCCAGAGAGGTTGTGGAGTCTCCTCTGGAGATCTTCAAACCCGCTTGGACGCAGTCCTGTGCCACGTGCTCTAGGTGACCCTGCGTGTGCAGGGGGTTGGACGAGATGACCTCTAGAGGTCCCTTCCAACCTTAATGATTCTATGAGTCTATGAAATGCACTGAGCCGCTGATGGATCATATGTAATTCCTCATAATTCACCCCACTTGAAAAGGCTGAGTATTAACTGCATCAAACTTTGCCAAGTTGCCCAATGTATTCCATGTGTATGACTTAGTGGAGGCACAGGATTAGGGGTCTAAGTAAGAGAAATCTGAGACCTACAGTAAGAGGGGGCTCAGAAGGGGCTGCCAAAATAGTTGGCTGGCTGCTGATGGAATTCCCTCAGCACTATGCAAGCTGGGGATGTGGCTGAGCTCAGCCTTGGCTTAGGTCAAGATTAGAGTTCTGGGAATACAGAATATTTAAAGCATATACTAAGAACAGGGCTCAGAAGGTGATGTCTGGGTAAAGCAAGGGATGCTCCTTGGGCTCTCCAGTGAGCGATCCTTCACTTGGGGGACTGAAGCGTCCCACTGATCATGCCAGCCTACAAGTGTGGGGAGGTTAGACAGGGTGGCTCATAGTGAGGTGTCTGGGGTCTGTCTCTACGAGATATTTGTAACCCTCTGCTCTTTCTCAGTAGCTTTTCTGTCTGTGCTGTGGACAATGCATGTGGCAGCACCAAAGCAGGCACCACAGCACAGGGGAAGCATAACCAGCACAGAGATGTAGAGACATGCACTATAGTCCTTGGGGAGCTGAGAGGCGACCCACACCAGCTAAAAAGAATAAGAATTGTCAGTGATAGATACGAAAAAAAACACACCATGATTGTTTTTCTCCGTACAACCAGGGTTAAGCCAGTACAACCACAACACCCACTCATTATTCTTGGGACAGAGCTGCTATCCTATCTAAACAGAGATGAAGTTCATTGCAGCCTCTTAAAAAAATCCTGCTAGCATATTGCATTAGAGTTGCGCAGAGGTCTCGGAGAGAGGGCATGGTTCACAGCTACACTAATGAACTTTGCTTTCAAGCCTGTTGGCTTGAAATTCTTCTCTAGTTCCCAGAAACATGTTCTGCTTTTTAGCCTCTATAACTCGTTTCTCATGTATGCAGCAGGCTAAGCATTCCAGCTCGTGGTTCTTTACTTCCTGCCCGATAGTTGAGCTTCTCTGCGTTCACATTCCTTCACCAGCACCAGTGGCTGCAGTTCTGCTTAGGTAAATGCTGGACTTTTTAAGTTCTTTGTCTTCTGTTTTTTGACTCTTTGTATTTGACATCCCTCCTATTTCTAATGAAAGGAAGTGACTAAGCACCAAAGAACAGATCACGTGGGATCGGGTGGCCTGAGTGTTGCTGTGTGTTGATGGTGAGTGCAGAGCAGATGATGTGCTAGTTCTTAGGTTTATGTACAGCTCAGGCCTTGGGAATTTCTCCTCTTCATGAAGTTCCTAGAAGTGTCTTGAAAAGCCAGTCCTTTGACAAGAATCCATTGCTTTGACTACGTTCTGGCTCCAGAGTTAGGTCAGTCCTGAAGACTGAAGAAAATCACAAGTTCACTCATTTCAATACTTTCATTTCATTTACATTGTTACTGGCACTTTCAGTTTAGGCTAATCAGAGATGCCAAATTAAACCCCAGGACAAAATTGCCTCTGTTCCCTTACAAGAACTATATTTTCAGGATGACAGTTCATGTCATGCTCCTCCACATGAAGAGTCATCAGCTTGGAGTAAGGAGGAGACAGGTCTTTTTTTTGGCTCTCAGGAGCCAGACTTTGGGCTTATTACTGTGGCTAATACTGTGGCAGTAGTTTTGAAAATGTGGACAGGTGTCCTCTGGGAGCTCAGCTGCAGCAATTAGTCATCATTAAAGCCTCACTTTGCTGAGTCACTGAAGAGTGAAACTGCTTAGACATTGTAAGGAAGCGTGTTCTTTATTGCCATGTGGCAACTGGCTATAAAGGGGGATAATCTGCCCTAAATATTGTTCTCTGGCAGGTACTCTGTTGCAAACGGTTTGCAGCCCATCATGTGCTTTCACTGAGACAGTTAAATTGCCACTGCTTCTGTTGTGATTGCCAGTGCAGCAGTTAACACCTTTAATCTCAGTTGATTTAAGTGTCAATACAAATATAACTGAGATGAGAGTTTTCTTTGGGGTTTCTGATGGGTCATGAGAAATTAAGTTTATTGCAGATTTATAAACTGTGATTTGAGCTGATTCTGTGTTTATGCTGAACTCTTCTGTCACTCCATGTTCGCAAGAATCATGAGCTTCCATTTAGTTGGCCAAGATTTCCATGAAGCATGAGACACGAGCCAAACATAGGCTACAGGTGCAGGCTCATGGTTGACCTGGTAGAGGCTGTATTTGTGGATAAAACTGAGCAATTACTTAAATTTCCTTTTTTCTTTCTTGTAATAAATCCCTTCCTTAATTCATATTCCAGGACTCCCTCTGGGCTGTGACTGTATTTTGACCTGTTTTTCAGAGAAGCTCGTAAAAGGAAAGTTCTGTTGGCTAATGGGCCCATCACAGGACAGGCTGTCAGGCTTAGATGGTTTCCTTCTTTCTGGTTCTTTTGGAGTGCCAGTCCTGTAGCTTTTCATCAGGGTCCTTGCTCGGGATGAGCAGTGGTTGCAGTTGAAGCTCTAGCGCTGCCCGTTCTCGGAGCTGCTCTTTCCCCGGTAGTTGGGTGGCACTGGAGTCACACGAGGTGCAGCACGAAGTGACAGGCCTCGCAGCCTCTCTCTAGGCAATGCTGAAAGAGTAGAAAAGCTCTTCAAGGTTAAAAGCACTTCTGCTTTAAGGAAGTTTGTATTTTCAAAATTACTGTTCAATTGACCTTAAGCAACCAAGCCTCAAAAACCACGAGTTGTGTTGGGCAATCTTGGCCATTGACATGTGTGAGCTGTGTGTTTATATCTGTGTCCAGGCCTGTTTAGTCTGAATGAATTTGGGCACAAGGTGAGCAAGCGGCGAGGAGCAAGGTCCGCGCAGCGCCGGGGCCTGGGGCTCCTGCCTCTCACCCCGCAGCAAGTGCCAGGCCTTGAGGAAGAGGCCGCAGAGGGGAAGCCCGACGTGGCTCTCAGGCCGATGTGTCACTTGTCATATAAAAGGAGACCGAGGCCCAGGAACTCAGTACCCCTTCCCTCTTCTCCAAGTCACTCTACATTGTGGGGAGTGGAGACAGACAAAGAAAAGGAAATAAAAGGGCCCAGTTTAGCTCCCAGTGTCTGACTTTGCTTTGTTTTATCTCAAGTGAAATGGAGATGCCACCTTCCTTAGGAGGCCATGGAGGATGGCGTAAGGAATGGGCTTGCCGAGTCCGGAAGAAGGGACTTGGGTGAACCCTTGGCTCAGCACTCTCCTGATGGGAGCTGTGTCTGCAAATCTCCTGGCAATGCAGTGACAGGGAGGTTGGTCACAACCGCTGTGCACCTGGGGCTGGACTTCGACCACCTCTGGAGAGGATGATCTGTGGGGCTGAAGCACCAAGCCCATTCCCCCTTGAGTTGAGCACTATTCTACTTCCTAGCACGAAGCCCTGGAAATGTCTATACTGAGATCATTATTCTGTGCTTCAAGTCCCTTCATTCCCAGGGGACAAGAAGCATGTGTCATCGTGTGTAGTATTTACATCACATCCCTCCTACACTGACACTGGTGCACTATGCAAAAACTGCTCTGTTCCTTTCCTTTTTGTTAAATGCTCCTACTTTCACTTGTCTTTTGATACTGAGGCCAGTAGTTTTGCTTTTCATGAAAAAAAGAAGATCATCTTAATGTTTTCTTCAGTGCACATTTTTCATCATGCCACTACCTTTCTTTTGAATTCAGTGGAATTCCGTGTGGTGCTAGTTTGGAGTTTGAATCCAGTTAAGGTACATGGGTCATAAAGCAGAAGTAAATTAAAGCAAAGTGATTAAATGAGCTGTGCTGGTGCAGTTACGACCACATGGCTTGGAAAGGGACTCCATTGTGGTTGAGTTGCCCAGCAGAAGCCCTGCTCAGCGCTGTTGTTTTCTCTCTCCCACTTCCCAAGAGCTCTCAGATAGGATCTGCAGGAGATGGCAGTCCCTGAACCGTATTGTTTAAGTGTTACAAACATTTCCGTTTTCCATGCCCCTGCTTTTTCCTTTTGTACCACCTCTAATTAATGGGTATTTGGGCTTGTGGTGTCTTCAAAGGAGTGCTCAACAAATACTGGTCAGCCCAAATATTTATGAGCATGTTCTAATGCTATCTTGACAATCCTGTAGTACCACACATAGCATGTATTAGAGTATTCACCAGTCTAAATGCTGCTCTAAGCAGCCAATTCATATTTCAGACTAAAAAAAAAAAAAAGAAGATAGAAAGATACATGAACATTGTTACTGTCCCCTAATTTTTGCTGACAGTAACTTACCTGCATTTTCTAACCTAATAAGCTAAAAACTACTTACTTCAACATGGAAAAAAAAAACTGAGCCACTATGCTACAAGAAAAGGTCTTCAAATTAAATACACAACGTTGAAAAGAAGGGAAAGATGTGTGAAGAAATTTTGTAAAGAGTTTATTTTTCATTGAAATAACAATACGCAGCACTCATTCAGCTCAACTCAGAAATTCTTACACTCTTAATTTAACATCTACAAGGATAACTATTCCAATCCTGAATTTGGGGGAAATGTTCTTTTTTCTTCCTGTTCCCACTGCTCATTTTCATGAATGACCAACACGAATTTTCACAATTTCTGCCCCATGCTCCAGTGGAGTAAATTCTGGGATTGTGATAGCAGCCCATTCCCAGAGGAAACAGTGTGAAATTCTGAAGGAAGAAAGGAGCCATCGACAGGCGCAGTGTGTGGGAAAGTGGCTAAGGACAAATAACTCAGCAGCTCCAAAGGGAATTGTGCAAGAGCCTGGAAACACAATATCTTGAAAGGATTTGAACACTGGGGAATTTCCGAAGTAAAACACCAATGAAAGATGAGCAGAAAGGAGCAAGGAAAAAGAACAGAAAACAAACCCCAGAAGGCTGAATTTCTCCCTTCCTGAGTAATGCGCCTCCAATTTCTGGGGAAGAAAACAAACAAAAATGAAATGAGGAGGCTCATTTCACATGGGCTGTTCAGAAGGAAGGGAAATCATTATGGAGCAACGCTGTTATCCTTGGGATAATAGGCGAGCAGCCTACATCTGTGGAAAAGAAGTTGTCTGTTTTCCACGCTAGGATGTGGCAAGGGCTCTTTGCAGAGCTGCTCTGCCTCCTTTCTGCCTCTGCTTGCTCTGATTGTGAGGGACATGAGGCTCGACAGCAGTCCAGACCCTGTTCCCCCGCAGCCTGAGGTGCTGTATGGGACTGCCCCTGTGCTGTAAATTGATGTAATCTCTGTTTCCCCTGATCCCTGTTTTATTGCAGCACTTGAGTTATTTTAGGAGGGATTCAGACAATGTCTGGATCCTGCTCACGGGGGCAATACGGGACCTCAGGGGAGAGCGGGGGGTCCTCAGCCTGCCACGAGGATGATGCTGCAGCGAGGGGATCCAGGCAGAAAAGTCACTCCTCGGCATGCGAACGCGGCCCCAGGCGCTGCTGCGCCTGTCCGGAGCTGTGGATAACGCTGCGTTTTCCTGAGAGGCATGAAGCAGCGCTGGACGACTTCCAGCAGCCACGCTGAGCACGTGCTTTTGTTTCTCAGAAGGAGCAGCGGGGATAGGAAAAGGAAGGGCCGCCTGGCTCCGGGGCAGAATGAGCTGCTGGCCTGCTTGCTCTCGCCTGCTCCTTAAGCTTCATTGCTCACTTTGGGGAGGAGATGAAATCCAGACGCTTGTCCTGCTCTCATTCTTGGTTCACACATTTCAGTGGGGTGAAACACTTTGGGAAGGCTCCCAGTGCTCATCAGAACAGCGCTGCCTTTTACCTGGGGCTTCCAGGAAATCCTGCTTGTGTTTTCCTTGCACTCCTCATTGAGGGGATTTTCAGGAAAATATTTCTCCTCCTTACTCTTTCTGAGAGGCTGAGCTTGCTCTCAGCTAGTCTCCAAAGTGAAAGCCCCTATTGCTTCTATATTCCCTTAAGCATCCAGTGCTCGGAAGGTCCTAGCCCAGCATCAGAGCCAGATGTGGCACCACAGTGGAGCAAGAACCCGGCGTGAGGAGGGAGGGCTGGATGAGAGGGGCTGGGGATGCACATGGAGCACTTGGGAAGATGAGCAGGCAAACTTGTGTTTTTTGCCATTTAAATATGGTCAAAGAGCCTTTTTGTCTTCTTGCATCTCTTTCTAATTTCCTCACTATATTTCAACCAGCTCCCCCTTTTGTTTCTGCACAACCTTCTAGCACATTTAGGCATTAAAGAGTTTGCGCTTTGGATGAGTTTCTTTCTTCCCTCTGCAAAGATTCCTGGAAAACGATGCACGTGCATTCCAGTTCCTCCCAGTCCAGCAGTGTCAGGGCTGGGCAGAGGAACAGGGTGAACTTCTGCTTCCCGAGGCAGTGAGGAGAGGTGAGCGTGTCCTGGCTGAAGGGCTGGGGCAGACCCTGCGAGCCTGGTTCATCCCCTGTGCTAATGAGATTAATGAAAGCCTTGTCAAGTCAGGTCCCTTAAAGAGGAGGAAATCTGTGTCCAGATGCTGTAAAAGAGAAAGGTGGGGAAAGTGACAGGGAAGGAGAGGGAAAGGAGTTTTCCTCTGCTCTATAATACAGACTTGCAGGGACTGTTGTTTCAAAATGAAAATCAGAAAGTGTCCGTGCTTTCTCTGATATCATTTTCTCGTGTTTTCCTTTCTTACTGTCAGCAAGGAAGACATCAGACACTCTGTGCAAAGGAGGGAAGCTCTGCTTTTACACTGGAAGATCCTCTACACTGCAGGCCTTGGCAAAGCAGGGTGATATCACTGAAACCCTCCCTACCCCAAGCCCAAATGGGGATATTAGCCTTGCACGAGCATGAATGTACGGTATAGCACCAAAAACTCCCCTGAAAACGTATATTCTCTTAAAGAGCTTTTCTAGGGAGCATGTGTTTTTGAGGTGACTTCTCATGCTTATTGACTTCTTTATAATTTCACCATAATTTCTTTAATTTCCAGAGAGTCTTACTGGATTTAAACAATAGACTTGGAATAATTCCCCTTAATGATGGCTTGCTTAGTTCATGTGCACTGTGATGGGAGCTGTAGAGGTTGTTGTATAGAGATATCTGTGCACTTAACTATAAAGCATGCCATACTGAGTACTTTCATGATGTGAGTTAAACCCCAGTCCTTTGGGGTTGTTGATCCACTCCTTTGGCCTGAGTCACTGCAGAGTTCAGAGCCTCTAGGTATCTCAGGGCACACACAGGCCCTTTTGTTTTCTGTATCACTACTTTCAGCTGCTCTCCTACTTGTGCTAACAAGGGTTAGTCTTTAAGAAAACATTTCATGCCGGATTCACTCCAGAAGAGCACTAAGGAGTTAAAGACTGAATGAGGTTTCCCTGTTAATCTAATCTCGAGCATGGCTGCCTTCCTGCAGGAAGAGTGAAGAGCTGGTGCTGGGTCGTAAACTGTGCTGGGTGTCCTCATCAAATAAAATTGATGAACGAGCGTTTCCCTTGGGCAGTGGGCCTGGCTTTGCATCCCATTAAGTAGGGCTGGGCAGATAGCTGGTTTTCTGCAGTTTGATAGATCAAACTGCAGAATGAGGGATTTGGTTTAATAGAGCCCAATAACCAGCAAGGCAGGAGGGAAGCAGAGGCTCTGCCCTTAACTCAGGAAAATTCAACCACGATATTGGAGTCCAAGGCTCCCAAGTCCAAGGTTTTCCACCTCCCAGTTGTCCATCTCTGCCCTGCTGCCTGTCCTGCCCTTGTGTCACATGTTGTGGTCACCCTGCAGCCGTGTCCAGAGGCTTTGCAGGAGTGACCAGCTTAGCCGGGAGAGCGGCCACAGAAGCGTCCTCAAGGTCCAAGGTGAGACACGGCCAAGCTCCCCAGCTACAGCCAGTTAATCTCAGTGGAACATAAGCACATGGGTAATTTTAGAGCATGTTTCCTTTTTTATGTTTCAATAGTAAAAGAAACAGAGCCTGTTTTCTTGAATAGAAGTGCTTTCCTGGATCCGAGGAGGTTTCCTGAGAGATTGTGGACATCATTTTCATTATGACTTTTGAAACCAAGGGACCAAAGTTTCCGGTTTCTGAGTAGCTTTTTATGCCCAAAGGTCTAAAACAATTGAAATTAGCTTATTTTTCTTTGATTCTTGTTGGAGCCAATCCATGGACCGTAGTAAAGAAAGCTCAGCTGTGTGCATAGGCAAACGAAGTGCAAAGGCGAAGGACTTGCAGCTGCTGAAAAATTGCACTGAGACAAAAGCACTGTGAGAGCACCAAAGTCGTTGGAGCCCACAGGCATGTCCTTGTTTAGGTCTCTTAGGAAATCCGAACAATAAATTCCCAGCATGTACCCTGTATTTCCTAATTTCATTATAATACAGAGACAACTGATGCTCCTGGGTTAGAAATAAACATGCTGGAGGAGGAGACAACCAGTGTCTGAAGCGCCTCCAGCATGGCTTT